CAACAAGCATTTGAACTCTGACGTACCAAATAATTCCGATTGAGCTCCGAAATAGAAAAAAAGCCTAGAGATTGAAAGGGAGGCGGTTATACCAAACGATCCGGGACAAATGGTTTTCCAAGATCAATCTGAAAATCCCTTGAATGCACAACCAAGGCTTCGATGACTTGCATAACAAGCTCGTGCTCATAGCAAATCAGTTTCAATGTCCTCGTGAGGACACGAAATTTGCCCTCTAGTTTTGTAATAATCTGAGAGGATCACAATTCTACGATAGGGACCCTTTCAAATCAAAAACATGGTGAGAAATTCATTGATTCCGAAAAAGCAGACCATTTCTGGACTTCGGTTAGGTCAAAGAGTTAGTTAAGGACAGGAGGATCTTCTACTATCACCCGTTATTTCAAAGAGGCGGTTACCTGGAATATCCCTATCAACAGTAGACAGTAATCCTACCAGTCACACACAAAACGCTGGAAAAGGCCATTTTCCGAGAGAATGAGGTAATAACCGTCCTACTTACAGATTACTATGCATAAGCGGATAATCTAGAACCATAAGGAGTAATCCCTTCTATGACAAGCTATAACACAACTAATCTCGGAGCTTGGAATAACCAGCGAAGAGTGCTACTGCAACTTAATCGACGCAGTTTGAGCTACTACTTTTTAGCCATTACTTCAGGCACCAGGGAGAAGATTACAAGTCAAATTGGTCCCCCAGTGGCCGCCTACAGAATTCCTCTGAGACAGCCTTTCCTGCACACCCTTCACACAACTGATTTTCTTCTACAACTATAAGAAAGCTGAACACTACTCTTCAGTGCTACACGCGATTACTGTACTTTTTCAGTGTGTGTGTGCCAAACAGGCAGCAGAACGGGCATTGTAATAGCTCCATGAATCGTTCAATCTTCCCTTGAGTAGCTCGAAAATTCCCTCTCGAACACCATAAACCTTCGTTGCAGTGCGTCAAAGAACACATCCCAAGACCAGTCAATGATGAACATCTCAAGTGGCTGCGTCGCCGTCGTCGTTGTGGTGATGGGTGGTCGGAGGACGTACGGCATATGTCGGTCGTCACGACCCCAGAAGACGATGGTTCTTTGTATCGGTTTCAGTTGGTCTATTTGTTCAACTGCACGATACAATGCCTTGTGAAAGGTGAGAGGTGCCAGTCGGCAATTTCTCTAGAACCTTCCTCACATGCACTCTCCTCTTCTCTCACACTCATCCATCACTCAACACAAATAGACACACACAGAGCGGAGAGACGATGCCAACGATGCCTTTGTACGTGAACACCCTATCTCTCCTCGGATGTTGTCACCTACACCACCGTTGCCTCGTTTGCTCCTTTAGCGTGCACATGTGGAATCCTTTCAACAAACATTCGACCCAACCACAAATCCTCTACACGTCTTCATGACAATGGTGGGAATCGACTCCGTCTCCTCCCGATCGAAGTTATCGAGGAAGACGATTGTTCCTATATTGAAGGAGTATTGTTGTAACCAGTAATTCGAACATGTTTGACTAAAGAAAAAATAAATCTCCAAGCCAGGAGTAAAAAACGGCGATACAGCCTTGTTATAGGTAGACCTGAGGTTGCACTTGACCCGGCGAGTGCAAGTACGGGTTTGAAGCCCGTCCAAAGCCAGGCGCCCTGCTCACAGAGTCACACTCTTGTGCAGTTTCCAGCACATTCATAACAGCCAAGCAACCGGCAGATTCGCATAATTTCACCTAAGTATCACGCGCATTACAGTGAACCTCCGACAACTTCATGAGGGTCTCGATAGGGCCCAAGAGGAGATAAGGCCTGCACTTTTCAACTTACGAGCCAAGAACTCAAAGTTCATCGAAGGGCAGCTCTTCGCCCAGGGACGACAATATATGACTCCCAGGAGATGATCATCTCGAATATGCAATCACGTTCCTCAGTTATAGAACACCGCGGGGCTCTGATCCATCTATAGAACTAGAAGCTGAACTTGTGAAAATAATTAGTCTAGATAATTCAGAAGCATTTCAACCCAGAAAAAAATACCTCAAAACGGACAGTTGACGCTATATCTTCCCAAGCATGAAGCTCCCCTAGAACTCGCTGCTTACTCGAATGCTCCTCATCGATTGCCGCTGCCTCTACCTTACGTAATCAAACGAGTGAATCACCACAGATAGGTGATTCCGCAAGTCCCTACTATTTCTAGATGTCTGTTCCCTTACTCGAAAACTACTGCTCTGCTCAATCTCCTCCTAAACAATAAAGTACCTACAGAGCTTCCTCTTGAATAGAATAGCCGGAAAACGGGGGGTTAGTTCGGAAAAAGAACACCAACACCCCATATGCGACATGCATAGACTCGTTGAAGAAACTTGATCAAAAACCATTTACAACGATTTTATGGTAACAGTATTTTTCATATGTCGGTTTCAGTAAATAGTAAATAACATTTTTAGTAGGCTAGATCAACTATTATTTGTTGACTTTAATGATCTCGAGAACGTTTTCTGAGGTTGTAGCCTTCTTCGCTAGAATTTTCAACCTCGATCGATTCCTACGTCACTATGGGCTCTCCTAATGAGAGGTGAAAAAAGTTGTGAGCATTATAACAGGACGATCACCTGATTCATACTTTTTTTGGCACGGTGAGGGTCACGGAACTCCATTCAAAAAAGAGAATATAAAATTGTATTCATTTTTGACACAATACTCCGTTTTTCATGAAACCTCTCATGAACGTTTCCTGGTTTGAGCTCATTTTTTCAGTCTGCCGCCCTTCGCTAGTTGTTCTGACAGATCTTCTCAGTTCTTCTTTATCTTTCCGAGTTTTTGTCATTTTTCCTTCTCCTTTCCTCTAGTTGGTAGCGCGAACTTCACCTTCCACACTTGCCAAGCCTTCCCTGATTTCCTGATAATCAAAAGGCTCTAGAGCTTGAGCAACACTGCCCTTCTCAGCGGCACCGCCGCACCGCACTTAACAGTGCAGCAACCATCGGAATCCTACAGTAACCGGCCGAGTCCACTACTGCCATTATCTTGATTGCTTGGAAAGTTGGCGAGGTGGTATACGGTATCACTGCAGCTATCTTTCATGCAGTCATACTAAGTAATAGATTGAATCACGAAAAAGATTTCTTTGTCCAAGCCATATGGTTAAATCTTCCTGAAGGGCGACAGCTTCAAAGGAACAATCAGTAGATTCACAGGATCCACGCCCCTAGGTAATTACTGTATATAAATAGGTTGAGAAGGGGATGAATTCGACTCTTTTAAAACTGTTCATATTACATCGATCGGCTATTCTAAAATATCTTCCAGAATCCTATCCGCTAGTCAAATGCGCGCAGTCTCTTATTCACCCCTTAACGATCCGATGTCATGTAGTGCTCGATAGGCAGACAATACCGAATCGGCAAATGAATAGAGTACGACTTAGAAGGTCAAACAGTGTCACCCTTATAACAATGGTGTCCAGCCCGTATGTAGAGAGGCGACGAACAACATTATAACCGCACACTCATTCTCGTTTCCTCCTCATTCTTCCCTCTTATGGACAGACAGATATATACACACATACATACGAGACACAGGCAGACGAAGAGACGTGGTGTGGTGTGGAGCGAGGTTGAGGTGCGAGCGTGCAACTGCGACGACTGACACCGGCAGAGGTCGAGCGGAAGACAATTCTACACATTACTCGGTCAGGAAATGGTTTATTAATATGGCGAAGGCTTCACCAGTACAGCATGCTTTGAAAGGAAAAGTTCCAGTTCGACATGCTTTTGTTTGGAATTCTCCCTGACCCCGACGGATGGATGGCCTTTTGTGAGGCAGATGGTTTACGCAAGCCTAACACAAACACAGCAATGCATATCGCGTGTGTCTCCGTAATCGCTGGCCGATCGCCGACCAACGTGGCTGGCACCATATTCGAATCCTTCCAATTGTTCAGCTAACAAGCCTCTCAACAAGACTCACTTCCCCTAAAGTTCTGCTAGATATCTCTAAAGATCGCTAAGCGTCGTATGCCAGCCCCAGAATCCCAGTGGGCATTCGCATCCCGCTCCCCTCGACAGCATTAGCGCAATTGGCCCAATTCTCATAAGCCGGAAAACCCTTCACCTCTCCACCTCCGACGTCCAATTTCATCGACCACGATGAGATGAGAAATTATGATGGAAGACGGGCTGAAAACACAACGCCCGGAGGCCTGCTCGATTTGAAAATTTTGCATAACATAATTCAAAATTACCATACAGATGCTATATGTTTACGTAAAAGGAATTTATACTACAGTATACTGCTTCTAATGGCTATTTTTACCTTATGAGAGGAAAAATAATCCAAAATTTTCGTGTTACTTACTCGCGGGAGCCAAGGATCCAAAAAAATTCCGACGATGCTCCGTAACAGTTGACAGTCAGAAGACACTCCTTTTCAACCGAGAACTCGAAATGGATGATAACGATCACTGGAGAGGGAACCTTCTATTCATCCCTTATTTTTACAAACTCCCAGAGTTCATCCCACTTGGAGCTCCCTCCCACTCACCATTCAAACCGAATCTCAGATCGACTATTGCCAACCTTGGAAAAAGAATCGCTCTTATCTCTCAGAGTCACTCAGTTGTCGCCAAATGTGTTTGGAAGAAGTAAAGCCTCACTTATGCACCGGCTTGTTCCCACAGTGAACTTGTAAGCCAAAAACGCATTCAAACAGCACTACGACTGTAACTGGAAGTCGAGGCAAGGCGCAACTCGAAACGACGTTGATCAAATCGAGCCTTTCACAACTTTTAAGCTCTTTTCCTCAAATGGACATGCGTTCAAAACACCTCACATGTATCCTTCCAACAGTACTGGTTTCTTCAGAACTAACATCTCAGAGACCTTCCAGTTTCCAGAGCCTTTTTTATAGACAGAAAGACGACGAAAGAGACTTCTTCACTAGCGGAAAGACGATTTAATAGTCTTTTATGGTCGCTCAAATACTCTCTAAGCCACGGAACACACCACAAAATGTTCCATCGATCCTTCCCCACACATGTACGAACACTGAAGGAGGACCCTTGAAATACGGAAAGTCAATCGATGCTCAAGTGCACTTACCATTCATATCTAGGCTACCTCTTTGATGTGTTTGAATCAGCCAAAATGATTGAATTGAAAGCCAACCATTGTTTACCACAGCCAACTGGTAAACAAATAAAATAGTACAAACCAGCTTCTGCAACTAATGCCACATCGTCTCCTTTTTCGAGTTTAATCTGTCCCTCTTCCTCTTCGCCGTCCGAATCCGTTAATTCCCCGTCCTCGGCTGCCCTTGTGGCACGAAAACGCCGCAGCGGTTTTGTCATTCCAATCATCATCTGTAATTCAGCAAAATAGACAGGGCCAAATTATGTATACGAGCTAATTAATCCGTGACACAGGGCAATTCTATCACATGCCAACATAGTTGTCCAGGCACACGATAGCTATTCATCACCGCTTTCCTAAGGATCTACGCTACATTTATTATTACTCCAGTTACTGATACTTGACAATTAATCTTGGGACATAACTACTTTATTTATGGGACGTCAACTAACTAACATGATCGGGCTCCTTAACGACTGTATACATTCAAACAAGGACGGTGGACGACGGCGTTATCAACGACCCCGCGTCCGGAGCGAACAGATCTGGAAGCACCGGGAAAGCACCGAAATCCCAAAAGCTTAGCAAAAAACCTCGGCTGACATAGAGGCTGTAAACGGGGAAGTGGGAACCATCCGGAAACCGAAAACCGGGACTGCGCTCCTCACTTTCCATGACTCTTGCCAGAATTCCCGATTTATGACCACCAGTGGCGACTTTGCAGTCAAGGTAGGAAATGGCCTTCTTAGTACAAAAACCCAAGTCGGTAGGTACTCTCCCGGCCAGATAAGCTTTGCAGGCGCTACTTTCCGATAAAGATTCTAAAGTTTTGCACTTTATGGTCCACTGGTTCAGATCTTTCCGACTTCCAAGATGATCGCGTTTATTTGAAAGACCATCATTTGAACTTTTGAATGACCCCATCAAAAGCTATCCGTTTCTGGATCATCCCAAGGAAATAGGAATTTTTCAGGAAAAGGGAAATTTTCGAAGAACCCATATTCAGGTGAAAATTGAAGGGGTCTTAGTTCTATCGCACACTTCAACGACCTTTCAAACTACTTGTCAATGTAACTTTAATCCCCTCGTCGACTCCTTTTTTGTTCGAGAAACTTGAGGACGGCAAGAAAGATCTACTCGTTCTCGGAAACTAGAAGACTTTTTTTTCTAGCTGAAAAAACATTTCCCAAGTATCATTCATCCCCGGCAGTGTCCACACGGTGAACGCAGATATATTGATCGGTGGCAGCGCTAATTTTTCCTGCAAATGTGCTGTGCTGCTGCGGCAACGACGACGACGAATGCTCGCAACAGCGCCAACGCGTCAGCAGTTTTCCATTCTAAATGACTCCTAATTCTGTTTGTTCCTTTCCGAAAGGATGATTGAAAACCAGCACACGAAACGTGGCTTGATAGCCGATATTTTTCGCTGCTATGCCAAAGAGACAGCAGCGGCCAGGCCAGGATAATCGTCGCCACAGAAGGAGCACCGGCATCGGCTGTGGTGGTTGTGGTAGTGGCACCCGTCCCGGAGTATTCATCTAGCGACAAGGTTCCTCCAATGGAGCATGTCCTTGAAAGGGCACCACACTGTGTTTACCCCACTACCTTCACTACTACCACACACACATGAGCGATGAGTTGGCCACCCTACGAAGAGGCACGGGAGATAATGGATTACTTTTTTCGTCACCAACAATAAATCTACATGGGCAATGATGGCTCATTTTGAAATTTCACACAGAAAGAAGTAAGGCAACGGACAAGTGCAAAAACCCACTCGAACACAATCCGCTCGACTTGCGAAACTCACTAGACAAGAGGTTTTGTCGACAACCTCCACACGGCATGGATGATACTCAGCGAAAATTCTGGAAAAACAAAAATTTATGAATTCACCATTGGCTGGATATAATCAGGGAGCTCCTATCATCCCGGGAGAAGATACTGTATGAAATTTTATTCATGAAAAATATTGGTTCGGGGAAACTGACTCCTATTTCGAGTCGAATTCAATGATGTGGGAGACGGTAGAAATTTTTCCTCGTCATGGCCATCCCGAAATACGATTAGACTCGAAGTTCCGTCATAAAGCTATTTTTAAATGAATTCTGTTCACCATCATTTTGAAGATAGTGACAACCCTATGATATCTCAACGGTTCTGAGGTCCTAGCAAAAACGTTAGGCTCCAAAAACAAGTTCCTAGAGATCAAAACGCACTTAGCTAGCCCCTTCATCTCTTAAGAACCACTAATCAAACATGACGTACCCTCTACGATTCACCATGGTCAGAACCAAATTTATCTTTAAAAATTTTTTTTTATTTAGTTCACCAATATTTGGACTCATCAGCTCCCATAGTATCCGGTAGAACGGGAAGATTCGCGAATAGCGAGGAAGGATGTCCCTAGAAACCCTCCCTTCGTGAAACCTATTAGAGTGGCAATTTCTCACGCTCATACTCATGCGGCTGTTTGTAGCGGCTCTCTACGGTCAGCACCCAAGAAAACAGGAGAATAAATGGATCATGGACCCATTCTATCGCAGGCCTAACGCTTACATTAGTTGAGGCAGCCTTTCCAACTGCACGAAAACANATCCCGTTACAACTTTATGTAAGCATCCTCCCCTGAAAGCCATGCTTAACTGTTACTGATCGCGAAAGTTAGGTATGGGCACTAGAAGGGCAGATATCGCTTTAGGCCTAAAAATTACTACTCCTTATATAACTTCCACAGACCAAGACATTTTCGTGTCACCGACTACTTCTACGGGCAAAATACTTCTCCCGATGAGTTGCCCACGAATTTCTACGGAGGGAACACAACCACCTTGGGGTTTCTCGGAAGTTCTCAACTTTAGAGCGATATATTGAGCTTTTTGGAAGGAACAACTGGCTATGGGTTACTAGTTGGGCTTGCCAGTATTCTCGGAAGTCTGGGGCCGTTACCATGTTTCCGTTAGCTCTATGAGGTAAATGACAGTAGCACACTTTTAGTAGCACCACTACTGTTTATGTTTATGTTTACACCGTTCGACTCGCTCAATAAACTCACACCAACTAGACTACTCTACTCTAGGTATTAACCTCGTTCCAACAGCTTTTATGACCAATTCGGTGTTTGTTCCCCGAAGAAGTAGGCCGAAGTTTACAAAGGCTTTTCCTTTCACCCCCGGGGTAGGCTAATGAAATATTAAAAACACTTCTCCACTGCGAAGCGCGTCATGTCGTCCGTCCCTTTCACAAACACCACGCGAACATTGTGACTCTCTTTAGTGACTCTGAGCTCACGGTAGAGGCAATCGATGTCCTCCTGCGTCAACTGAAATCGACCATTTTCATTTTTTTATACACATCAGTCATTCTGAAAATTCATGACATTCTTTGAGCATCGGTCAGCGGTACCTTCACTGATGACGTACTGGGTCGTCTGATAACGTCATCATTCATTTCAGAGCTTTTTTCCCCATCACAATTCCCATTTTCAGGTTTCGTACAAGGCCTTCAACCTCAATAACTACTCTCTACACTTCAAAAGTACAAATATTGCCAATTATGGTGAACTCTTGCTACAACGTTGGCGCTAACACAGCAACCAGCCCACCATGCAGTCCCCATTAAACCGCATATACACACACGGAGAGCGCAATTTCACGATATTAACCGCAGCCATGGCAGATCAATGCATCACCGCACACAAACAGGCGTATATACACGCACATACACACATATATACATACACGTATATACACCCTCATTATCTTTAGAGATCTCCCTCTCACCAACTAGAGCCAGTCAGCAAGCCTCGGCCAGTAATTCGACTATTAACCAACCGTAAAGTCACGGCGAGCCACCTGGAAGTCGATAAATCTCAAAGAAGGGTAGAAAGTTCATCTGGGAAACCTCTAAAAGGACAAAGTTCGATTTACATAGAAGACCTGATATTGACACTGCCTAGCAATGTCAGTGTGAAAACCAAAAGAGGACTGAAATCTCTTTTCAACAGCCATCCCTTGATTGATAGGTATATTTTCCAGCAATTTCAAATATGACTCTACCTAATCTTCGAACCCTACAGTAATTTGAAAAAGGTGAGATCGGGGCCACAAAGTCATCCTTCGAAAATCAAAAATCTCAACGTCCAGGTCCCAAGACCCCTGGCAAGCCCAAAGCACCCGAAGTTAATCACAACTTCTGATAGATCGGCTCCAACATTACCTTGGTAATTTCTAATTATGTAAAATCCAAAGTGCCTCGACTCTCGATTGTTGTATTTCTGTCAACGACCATGTAAAAGAAGCAATATTACAACACTTATGGTTATGATCACCTATAGGTGTTACTTAAATCATCTTAACTCTTGTACCCAAGCGTAGGTAACTCAGAATACAGGTGACTTCAGGACTTCACAACTCCCCCACAGGTCAATTCCCCAGAAGCACTATTTGGTTTCCGTGAAGCTGTCACTGCTACTTAATAAATCCGAACAGTCCAGATACCTAATTCCAAGGGTAGCCCTAAAGCTGTCGATTTCAAAATTTTAGCCATTTTCAAACAATTCTTGACTCTACTAATTCCCAATGTTTAGGAGTTCTCCGGCGCTTTTTCACATTTTTGAAACCCACCAAGTCCCTAATTATTGTGATGCAGCCCATTATTTTCGCATTTTTGACACCTTGAATATGATGTCTAGATCACTTCAACACCCCGATTAAGACGCTTTTTTCAATTCTGGCTGAAGAGTCTGCAGACCTCTCCTTCCACCTCTGCTAATCCTTCACGAGTTATTTTGCTTATATATGGAGGGAGAGGCAATGAGAGGGAGGGAGAGAGGCAAGCAGAAGGGGGAATGGCCGTGTAAAACCGATGTGCGAGGAGACCTGTAGCAATTAGCCGACCCAGCGATGCGAACAGCACTCCACTAATGGAGATTGATTCTCTTTTCAAAACGCCATCGAATTAATGCCACCAGAACATTCGCAACTAAAATCGCTCCATGACTTTGACAAGACCTTTTTCTGAAACAACCGGGACGACCGTGAATGTATCCAATTCTTCCATAATGCATCTTCCTTTGGTGGTCACCTACACTATAGCCTCTATCTCTCATTCCCCAGTGCAATCAAGTGGGACACTACCTTATTGATGCAAGTAAAAATTTCCAATAACCTCTGCAAGGGCACTCTGCAGAGAGATTTTCATCTGAAGATACTCAGAACGGGGTAAA